CTCCACACCAGATTTTATTTCCTTAGTCTCTACCTCAGTGGTCTTCAAACTTGGCCCTTTTATGACTTGTGGACTTCAACTCCCAGAATTCCTCAGCCAGGAATTCTGGGAGTTGAAGTCCACAAGTCACAAAAGGGCCAAGTTTGAAGACCCCTGTTCTATCTGATAGATCTGATCTGTTTCTACATGAAATTCACAAGTTAACATTTCAATAGATCCTGTGAAAGCCAGTAAACTCAGGACACCTTCCAGTTCACCCTTCAACAGATTAAAAAAAAAGATTCCAGCTGAACAAGAAGAAGTTCCATTTTTCCAACAATCAATGAAAATAAATCAGTATATTTTTGTCCCTGTTTTGATCATCAGAAAGCAGAAAGCCATGTACTTGTAAGAATCAAAGGCCACTTTCCCAAAGCACAAGATGAAACAGTGAATCACCGTAATTGACAAGGTCAAATTGTTTTCTTAATTGCTTTTTCTCATTTTTCTGTGAAATGTTTAAAGACAGTGGGCGATGTTCAGGTTATTGTGAAGAAGTGGCTGAGGGAAGAAAAGTCCAATTTAAATGGAGAACTCAAAGCTTTTAAAGTCAGTAAGTGCAGGAAAGCAGAGCCAGAAATGCATCATTTGTTAACAACTGAAAAATCCTCACAAGATTGCACATAAAGAGGGAATGGAGGCTATCTATAAAAAAACACTCCCCACAGTATATAACAGGGCCTTGTCAGTGTTCTACTTAGAACAGGGGTAGGCAACCTTGGCTCTTTTATGACTTGTGGACTTCAACTCCCAGAATTCCTGAGCCAGCATGGGGGAATTATGGACCCTTCATGACTTGTGCAACTCCCAGAATTCCTCAGCCAGCATGGCTCAGCTTGGAAACCTCTCCCTTTCCCCTCAGCATGGCTGGCTCAGGAATTCTGGGAGTTGAAGTCCATGAGTCATAAAAGGGCCAAGTTTGAAGACCCCTGCCCTAAAGAATAGTTATTGAGAGTATCAAATGCTGCTGAAAATAAGAACCATCTCTCTCCTACCAGTTTTTATTTATTTATTTATTATTATTATTATTATTATTATTATTATTATTATTATTATTATTATTATTATTATTATTATTATTATTATTATTATTATTATTATTATTATTATTATTTTCAAGCTATTGTTTTGTTGGTCATCATCATGCGACAAGGCTGCGGAAAATTTATTTCTTTAAATATATATATAAATATATTTTGTTTTATGATAAAAAATAAAATACAGAACAGAAAACCAATCAACAACCCTCCCCCCCCCAAAAAAAAATATCCAGCACTAACAACAGCAAAAAAGAAAAAAAAAGATTGGTGTACAAAAAAGGTGCGGGGGAAAGTGACCCAAGTTGATACTTAATACTTGGGACTGCGGAAAATTTATTGACTTCCTGTAAGAAAAATATTGGGTTGATTGTGGTTGTGAGGCTACATCCCCTTGATCAGTGTGAGGGATAAAATATGTGGGTTTTCTCAAGTTGTGCAATCTGGGCCTTGTCTTCAGTGGACATCACTATGTTATAGTAGAGAAGAACTTTGACTTTCAATCCAGGGAATCCCCTTTTAGGCTTTCTGTGGAGAAACACAGCTGTGCCTGGAAAACAACGAACAAAATGATGTGAAATGTCAGCGAAAAAGCACTGTGGGAACAATGTTGTCACTTGGAAAAATGTTTTCGCGTCCCCCTGTTTTCGGTGTGGCTGAATCAGCCGATTGATTGAGACGCAAATCGCTTTCCTCTTAGTCATCCAGGCTGCTTAATTGTCTCCCTGGTCTTTACATCTGCTTCTGTTTCCAGTATGTGGTCCAGAATCCTGTTTCCCACCGAGCTAAACTAGAACTTCCTATGAATCATTAGCTAATGACCGGAGTTATGGCTCTGTTGGAAAAATAATATTTCAGTCGAAAGTATGATCTATGTGTCTGTGTGTACATAGGTTGTGATTACAAGACAAGGCCTGAACCCTTCCATTTGTGCCATGGTCAGTGGTGGGATTCAGATATGGGAACAACCGGTTCTCTCTGTGGATGCCACTTCCGGAAATCCATTCTGGGCTTGGACAATGAAAAATTAGCTACTGGTTCTGCCGAAGTAGTGTGAACTGGCTGAATCCCACTACTGACCGTGGTGTCTGGAGCATGGGTGTGTGTGTGTCAGTCAACAAAGGCAAAATGGTGGACATGACTTCAGAATCCACTTTGAAGTTACAACTGAAAAAATGGACTTATGACTGTTTTTCACACTTATGACCATGGCAGCATTTCACACTTATGACCTTGGCTCTTTTATGAGTCGTGGACTTCAACTCCCAGAATTCCTGAGCCAGCCATGCTGAGGGGAAAGGGAGAGGTTTCCATGCTGGCTCAAGAATTCTGGGAGTTGAAGTCCACGACTCATAAAAGAGCCAAGGTTGCCTACCCCTGACCATGGTCATGTAATCAAAATTCGGACGCTTGGCAACTGGTTCATATTTATGACAGTTGCTGAGTCCTGTGATCACCTTTTACGACCTTCTGACAAGCAAAGATTCATTTTAACTAGCCTAGCTTAACAGCTGCAGTGGTTCACTTAACAGCTCTGGCAAGTAAGGTCATAAAATGCGGCAACACTCATTTAACAACTGTCTTGATGAGCAACTGAAATTTGAGGCTCAGTTGTGGTTGTAAGTTGAGGACTACCTGTAACAGAAACTGAGCTTGGATCGAAGCATTTCTTTTAAGCAGACATTCTTCAGATTTTTATCCTGATGCTAATTAAAATCTGTTGGGTCCTTGGTACTCCTTAAGCTTGGTGGTTTTCTTGTAGACATTTCATTACCCTACTAGGTAACATCATCAGGGCATTGATGATGTTGGGTAATGAAACGTCTGCAAGAAAACCATCAAGTTCAGAGAGAAGCAAAATCTCACAGTTCAACACTGAATTACAAATATTCTCTTCTATTGGGTCCTTGGTATTCACTGAAGGTAGTTTTCTTGTAGACATTTCAGTACCCAACTAGGTAACATCATCAGGGCACATCCCTCCACATGGTCAAAGGTATTTAATAAATTGCTAATTGCCTGCTCTTATTATTCCAGGCAGGAGAGCAAGGGAGAGGCATGAAGTTCATGGAAGGATATTATTTCCACAGGTTCATTATTATACTGAAATCTGAACTGAGGGTTAATATTACTCTGTAACCGAGGTACACATTTGCCTTGCTTATGAGGAAGCTCTTTTATTTACACAGAAGCCAGAAGGACTATACACACGCGCGGTGACCATATTTTCTCTGAAAAAGATAAAAGGACCAACATCAAAAAGGAACAAATCTGAAAGAGATTAAATAAGGATTAAGCGTTTAATTGACTTATGTTTATAACTTTGCTTTACCAAGCAAGATTCAAGAGCAAAAATTTTTACAGATACAGAAATGTATCTTCTAATAAACATATCTAAAATCAAACAGTACATTTTTACAAAGACAATTTCATTTTCGTATTTTTCACAGGAACGGGAAAGACTGTGCAGTAAGTGGTACCATTTGTACAGTAAAAGTCAAATAAGGGCCAAGGTGGAAAATAAATACATCTAAAGGACAGCTTTATGAATAGAATAGAATAGAATAGAATAGAATAGAATAGAATAGAATAGAATAGAATAGAATAGAATAGAGCTGGAAGGGACCTTAAAGGTCTTCTAGTCCAGCCCCCTGCTTAAGCAGGAGAACCTATACCATCTCAGACAGGTGACTGTCTAATCTCTTCTTAAAAATCTCCAGTGATGGAGCGCCCATGATTTCTGGTGGCAAGCTGTTCCACTGGTTGATTGTCCCCACTGTCAGGAAGTTTCTCCTTAATTCCAGATTGCTTCTCTCTTTGTTCAGTTTCCAACCATTGTTTCTTGTCTTGCCCTCTGGTGCTTTGGGAAATAATGTAACCCCCTCGTCTTTTCTAGTCCTTCTTTAGTATGGCTGTGCAGGACTTCAGATTTTCTAAGTCTAAGAAGTGCTTTAAACATTAATGTTTTCGGTGTGCACTACTTTAAAGCTCATCTCTGTCCAGATGTTGACACTTCAGCACTAAGTTTGCAAGAATATTATTCTGAAACTACATCCCTTGTCTTTGAATATCATTTCTGCTTATGAATACAGGTAATCCTCAACTTACAACAATTCATTTAGTGACCATTCAAAGTTACAACAGCCCTGAAAACTGTGACTTACAGCCGTTTTTCCAAAGTTACGACCTTTGCAGCGTCCCCATGGTCAGGGGATCAAAATTCAGAGGCTTGGCAACTGGTTCATATTTATGACCGTTGCTGTGTCCCGGGGTCACATGATCCCCTTTGGCGACCTTCCGACATGCAAAGTTCATAGGAAAATCGGATTCACTTAACAACCGGGTTCCTCACTTATCAACTGCAGTGATTTGCTTAACAACTGTGGCAAAGAAAGTCTTAAAACAGGGCAAAACTCACTTAACAAAATCTCTCACTGAACAGCAGACATTTGGGGTTCAGTTGTGGTCGTAGGTCAAGGACTACCTAGCTGGGGAATTCTGGGAGTTGAAGTCCATCCGTCTTAAGTTGCCAAGTTTGAAAAAAGCGACCCACTGCAATTGCCCTATGTTCCCAGGAAGACACATCTGCTTTAAAGATGCTTCAAAAGACAGCTCCTTTAAACAGCACAGCCCTGTAGTCAGACAAACAGAATAATAGAGTTGGAAGGGACCTTGGAGGTCTTCTAGTCCAACCCCCTGCTCAGGCAGAAAACCCTATTCCGTTTATTCCCAGGAAAAGACAGAGGTTTTATGAGCCAGGTTCCTGTTCCCACATACTTGAGGTCACCAAACCCACCTCACACAGCCTTATTCTTTGGGGCTAAGTGCCTGAAATGAAGATAATCATTAATTTTCTTGCTAACGCCAGCAGGAGAAAATACCCCATGGTGCAAGCAGACTTTGTTTTCTCTTCCTCTATTTTAGGCGCTCCTGAACGATCCGCTCTACATTGGCCTCAAGCACAAACGAGTTCGTGGGAAAGAGTACGACGACTTGCTGGATGAGTTTATGCAAGCAGTTGCAAACAAGTGAGTAGGCTTCTCCTCACTTCTCCATTAGCTGCTTTATCGTGAGAGATTGGATTGAGACATGTAAACAAGCCAGCTTTCAGCGCAGATTGAAGCAGAGGAAAATCGTAGCCACAGATGCCCCCGTGGGTGGTCTGGGAAATGACCCTTTGGATATAGACCCTCTTAAGTCATGTTTATTTATGTGGTAGAGAAGGAGCAATTTCCTATCCGTAGCACAGGATGTGAAAAAGGCAGCCCGCATGGGTTCCTGACATTAAGGCCAGCCCCAGTGAACAGTACTTTTTGTTAAAATAGTCGCTCACAGTTAAGGTGTATGGGAATGATCTTGGGAAATGGGGGAAAAGTCACAACAATCATGTAACTGGTAGAAGAATAATTTGGAGTTGCAACCCGAACCAGGGTTGCGCAAGAATAAATAAAAATGAGATGCAGACAGCTGTGAGGAAAGAAGAAATATTTATTATTAAAAGCAAAACAATAGCAATAGCACTTAGACTTATATATTGCTTCATAGTGCTTTACAGCCCACTCTAAGCGATTTACAGAGTCAGCCTATTTGCCCCCAACAACCTGGGTCGTCATTGTATCAGCCTCAGAAAGGTGGAAGACTAAATCAATCTTGAGCTGGTCAGGATCGAACTGCTGGGAGTCGGCAGAGTTAACCTGCAATACTGCATTCTAACCACTGAGCCACCAGGGCTTTGGTATTTGTCTTTAGGGGCAGCTGCAGAGAAATGGGGTACAGCGACACAGTTGTATAGAGGACCTTGTCTTAGAAAGTGTCTACGTGCTGATTCTAGGGCAGGGATAGGCAACCTTGGCTCTTTTATGACTCGTGGACGTCAACTCCCAGAATTCCTGAGCCAGCATGGCTCAGCTTGGAAACCTCTCCCTTTCCCCTCAGCATGGCTGGCTCAGGAATTCTGGGAGTTGAAGTCCACGAGTCATAAAAGAGCCAAGGTTGCCTACCCCTGTTCTAGGGTGCCACTTGAGGGGTGTGTGTGTGTGTGTGTGTGTGTGTGTCGGTAGGTAAGTAGGTCATCTATGATGTTTATTCTTGTGATCATGCAGTTCCGCTGGGAGACCTCATTTAATTAATTCCATTTGCGTTTGCAGACCTTCTCCTTTGATATGTGGATTAGGTCTGGGTGACTTATTTGTGGGGGTTGAGGAAGTTTGAGTAAAAGAGTCCCCCCCCCCCCGCGTCTGCTATTTTTACTTGATTAACGTAGTTTCAGCTTGACTGTCAGTTATCTAGTGGAGACACTGATTCTCAGTCCATTGTGGATCTGTTAATGTTCTAAGGAAAGATGGAAACAGTATAGGGAATAACGTGTATTTTGGTATAAAACTTCTCACATAACAGAATAACAGAGTTGGAAGGGACCTTGGAGGTCTTCTAGTCCAACCCCCCCACTAGGTATAGGAAATCCTATACCATTTTGGACAAATGGCTGTCCAATCTCTTCTTGAAAACTTCCAGTGATGGAGCGTCCACAACTTCCAGAGGCAAGTAATTCCACTGTTTAACTGTTCTCACTGTTAGGAAATTTCTCCTTAGTTCTAGGTTGCTTCTCCCCTTGATTAGTTTCCATGCGAGACTGCAGAAGGAATGTGGGCATGGTGAACATCTGAGAAGGGACCTTTGTAGTTTCATGCGCTGTAAATGGAAAAGATATATTTTTAGACTTGCAAAGTTCTGCTAAGGTATCTTTACAGTAAAGTAGAATTAGGCCTTCTGGGTGTACTTACGTCTGGGTTACCTTGCTAAGCTACTATCACACAGCAAGTGAAAACTCACATCTTAATGATCTCCATATTCATTCAGGAAAGCTTCATCAAATAAATGCTCAGATCTGTATGTCCCCCATAGTCACATTTCAGGAAGTAATCTCACTCACAAGTAGACCCAACTTACAAAAGGTTTCCTCCTTCTCTTCAACAGCAAAAGACAGCACCAGACTGAAGTTGCTTTAACTGATGTCAAATTTAACTTAATCCTTTTGATTCACTATGGAGCTATATTTATTTCTTTACTATTTTATACTTTGCCTTTCTACCAAACAAATAATATCTAAGTCACTTTTCATAATAACTTTAAGCTGGTTGAAGTACAACTCCCAGAATTGTAGGAGTTGGAATCCACCCATCTAGAATTTGCTGAAGTGGAAGAACTCTGGTCTAAACCCACAAAAAAATGATTACAAATAGCCTAGCCAGATTATAATTAGAACATTAAATGTCAACAGTTAAAATATAATTGAATAAAAAATGACCAAATTAGAAATGCAAGTAGGGATTTGGTGAAGCAATACATCAATTGAAACTTAATAAATTAATTGAAATGCTACTTAGCAGTAAATCAACTGAAAAGCTTCTTAATAATAAAAAAATGTCTTTGCCTGCCCAAAAAAAGCTAGAAAACAAAATCATCGTGATCTCCCTGGGCAGGAAAACTGAGCCAGAAGCCAACCAGTTTTTGCCAGATGTCCCTCCAGGAGTAGAAAACAGATTTGCCTTTCCTGAGGAATTTCAATATAAATTTGTTTATTTGAGATCATATCCTTCAAAAGGCTCCATCCCATGTCGTAGAAGGAATTTATAAGTTCACAAGTTGTTTCCCACCAGCGATGGAATGGAGAGGAAGTGGATGATGGGGAGGAAGTAGCTGATGGGGAGGAAGTGCTCAAGTTAAAACAATCTCTTTCATGTCAGGTTCAGTTCTACAACTCCCCAATCTAGATGGACAGCTACAGTATATAAATTGATATCATTATCATCGATCATCATTGATCATCATCAATCATCATCATGTATGGGTTTGGGATTTCCAGGTGGTCCTCTATCCAGTATTGTCCTTGTGACCTCCCTCATCTGGACTACTGCAATGCACTTTACACGGGACTGCCCTTGAAGAGCATTCGAAACCTTCAGCTATGCAGAATGCAATTGCACTGGCAATAAAAAGTGTCAAATATTCAACACATGTAACACCACTGCTTTGTGAGCATGTTTCTGGGTGCTGGTTGAATGCCAGCATTTAGAATCCTGGCTATCACCTTGAAAGCCCTTTAGGGCTTTGGACTGGGTTCCTTAAGAAACTGTCTTCTCCCAATCCTTTTTACCTGTCTAATTAGATCAGACAGGTGAGCATGTTGTGGATCCCATCAGCCATGGAATGTCATTGGCAGGAACCAGGAGATGTGCCTTCTCTGCTGTACGCCTTGTCCTCTGGGATATTCTCCCTTCAGACATCAGAATGACCCCAAATTATTGACCTTTCTCAAGGCCATGAAGACTTGGTTGTGTGCCCAGGCCTGAGGCCTTAAAAGTTTGGTGAAGGATTCCATCTCCTGGCTGTATTAACTTCCATAGTAACAGTTTTAGTTGGTGCCATATATATCCATTTTGCACTGATTTAATAGTTTTTATTTTTGTCATCTATGCCAGGGGTCCCCAGCCTATGGGCCGCGGCACAGTACTGGGCTGTGGGCTCTTGGCCTGCAGACCGCAGAGATGGCTGGCCAGGGCGCGCACACGGGGGGGCGCATTCCCCCCCACTCACGCTAGCACCCACGGCCGTTTGCACATGCGCGTGGGTGCAAACACTAGCACAGGGTCGTGTGCACCCTATTTGTGCATGCGCGAATGGGCTGCTAGTGTGGGTTTGTGTGCATGGCCCATTTGTGCATGCTGAACGGGCACTAGCTGCCGTTGGGGGTGCGCAGCCATTCACGGATGGCACTAGCGCATGCCGCATGCGTGAACGCGGCCACTAGTACTGCACCAGTGGGTGTGGCCCCATTTGCGTGGTGCACGCACGCATGCACGCAGTAATTTCCAAGCTGCTCTCCCCTCTGGGCCGCGAGCCCAGAAAGGTTGGAGAACTCTGATCTATGCTGCTCAGAGTCACTTGTTTAAATGGTGGCTATAGAAGTCAAATAAACAAACAAAGCTTAGCTTTTTGGAAATCAACTGGAGTTAGCTAGGTATTGCCAGTTATCTGGGTTGCAGATGATAAGTAGATGCTTTAGAGCCGTGGTGGTGCAGTGGTTAGAATTCAGAATTGCAGGCAAACTCTGCCCACAGTCTGGAGTTCAATTTTTTTTAATAATATTTTATTAATTTTCCAATTTTACATCTAAGTATTTAAAAAGCAATGTGGTGGCTGGGTTAACCAATAGTTCAATAACATACAAAAATCTTTAGTGCAAATTTCAAGTTACAACATCAAATATTTGAAGGACTGCTACAAAGAAGAGGGGGTCACATTATTCACCAGAGCACCAGAGGGAAGGACGAGAAACAATGGTTGGAAACTGATCAAAGAGAGAAGCAACCTGGAACTAAGGAGAAACTTCCTGACAGTGAGGATAATTAACCAGTGGGACAGCTTGCCTCCAGAAATCATGGGCGCTCCATCACTGCAGATCTTTAGGAAGAGACTGACAATCACCTGTCTGAGATGGTATAGGTCAGTGGTGGCGAACCTATGGCACGTGTGCCAGAGGCGGCACGCAGAGCCCTCTCTGTGGGCACGCCCCATTGCCCCAGCACATGTGGTCTCTAAAAGTTCGCCATCACTGGCCTAAGGCCAGCCAGCCTTGAGCCACCATTGGGGAGCCCACCATCCCACCCACCAGAGACCCCTTGGATCTCTCCCAATCCTGCCTGGCTCCCACAGGTGTCCCTCTCCATAAGCAACATCGAGGTGGCCACGTCCACCCTGGCTATGCCCACCCAATCTGCCATGATTACTGCAGCCACACCCATCCAGTGGCCACGCCCACCCAGTCTGCCAAGCCCACTGTAGCTGCGCCTGCTGAGTGGGCCACACCCACCCGGCACCTGGCGATACATAAGTGGGTTTTAGGTTGCAGTTTGGGCACTCAGTCTCTAAAAGGTTTGCCATCACTGGTATAAGTTCTCCTGCTTAAGCGGGGGACTGGACTAGAAGACCTCCAAGGTCCCTTCCAGCTCTATTCTATTCTATTCTA